CCTTCTGGGCTGCCAGTGCACACTGCCGGCTCGTGTTCAGCTTTTCATCCACCAGAACCCCTGAGTCCTCCTCAGAGCTGCTTTCTATCCATTCTCCACCCAGCCTGGACTTGTGCTTGGGATTGTCCTGACCCATGTGCAGGACCTTGCACTTGGCCTTGTTGAACTCCGTGAGGCTGGCAGTGGCCCACCTCTCCAGGTCCCTCTGGATGGCATCCCTTCCCTCCAGCAACCTCCCCACAGACCTGTGCCTTGATCTGCACACAGTCGGTGCAGCAAAATGCACGGTGGCTCTCTGGGGAACGCTTCCAGACAAGGGCCTCCATGCACAGTATCTACTGTACTCCTTCGTGGGAAGCATGAGCAGTACCCCATTTCCACACCTCTCCTGCAGAAAGCAGCACTTCCTGCAGAGGTGTTCATAGAAACCCAGAGGAATCTAAACCGCAATTTCAACTCAGAGTTGGTAACTGTCCCTCTCACTTAAAAATGCGTGCTCTGTCCTCACTCTTCTTCTCCAAGCTCATTTATTATGCAAATAATTTAATGTTCCTCAAAATCAGCTTCTCTCCCTCCAATCAATTTCATTCTGATTTAGCATCCTAATAGCTTCCTCCCGAAGGTTTCAGACACTCTAGGAAAAACCCAAACAATTATCTAAATAAATGTTAGCATTAACTTTAATACAGCAAAAGTCCTACCCTGACCTTGCTAGCCAATTGAGCATTAGCGTCTCAAGCCTTCGCAGCTGAATGCAGCCAAAATACTTGGCCGTCTCTCTTCCTTTAATCAGGACACTGTAGTGAACCAAGACTTGTTAAGAGTCATAAAGGATATTAATCTGGGCTCTGACTTTGGTCCTTGGGTTGCCCTTGTTTGCTTGGACATCAGCACTGCACCGTTCGCTGGCATTCTTCACAACTGGCCAACTTCTTAATTATCTTGGAGTTAGGTATCATCTTTGATGTAGTGCTTCCTCTCAGCTACCATTTAAGCCCCACGGCCCACCTAACCCTTCCCCAGCCAGCCCCTGCCAAATGTCTAGGTTCGCTTTGACAGACGCCAAAATCCTGGCCTGAACATTCATCACTTTAAGGTTAATTACTGTAATGCACTGTACCATATGGTGGCCTTCTTGCCTTCCTGCAACTCATCTGCAGACTACTCAAAAGGCAAGAGCAAGACTGCTGACCCCGAGGCACCCAGGCCACATCCATCTCCTCTGCAAGGCAGAATGAAAAACAATGCCCACAGCGAGAGCCCAGCCTAAGCACTTCACAATCTCTGTGGCTAAACAAGATACAGGTGTCTGAAGCTCAAGTTCTTCTACAGGGCCTCTCAGAGGCTTTTTAACCATCTGACTGCCTTGATGAACCCAGTGCAGATGCACCCCAACATGACGCTCCTGCATCATCTGGAAACTACACCCCAAACCACCTCTTTCCAGGAAAAGGGAGAAGCCCTGGTGAGCACCCATCAGGAGAGGAGCAAGGCCAGCTCGTGAGTTTGAAAATTACCCCAACCACAGCCGTGCCTCCCCGCACAGAGCCAGGCAGCTCCCACTGGTGCCACAACACCTACCAAGGTACCTGTCTTTACAGAATTTCTAAAGGGCCCAGCCTCGCTCACCTCCCATCTCCCGCTAAGCACAACCCCCAAACTAAGGCTGCTGACAAGGTTCCCTCTGAAAGAACACCTCTGTTCCTTCCCCTGGCGAGGCTGAAGCTCGCCATGCTTACAGCCTCTGGGAGGTTTCTACATCAGATGGTTCTGACACAAAGCCTGGTCTGCAGCACTACTCTTTTTCATAATCACAGAATGGTTTGGGTTGGAAGGGACCTTAAAGATCATCCAGTTTCAACCCCCCTGTCATGGGCAGGGACACCTTCCACTAGACCAAAGCCTCATCCAGCCTGGCCTTGATGACAGCCAGGGATGGGACATCCACAACTTCTCTAGGCAACATGTGCCAGTGCCTCACGCCTCTCTCCGGGAAGAATTTTTTCCTGATGTCCAATATAAATCTCCCCGCTTTCAATTTAAACCCGTTACCCCTCGTCCTGTCACTATAGTCACTTCAGACTTACAGAGGTTTCTTATCATTTATTTAAGGAGGTAAGATTCATCCGCTAAAGCTCTAAAGATTAACTTCCATTATTTCGTCTGTCTCCCCCGAGCAAAGCCAGGTTAAACTTCTGCTTTCCTAACCAGGCGCCTTGTGCCATCCTCAAACTTCACTGTCTCTGCTGCTGCCTTCTGCCTGCCTCTGCTCTGAACACCCTCCCCGCCATGTGATTATCACAGAAGCTTCTCCCAGCCCTCTCTTGGCTTTTTTTTTTTTTTTCCTCCTGATATTTTTAGAAAGTAGATTGCTTTGGTTTCACTGTCTGGGGCTGGCTGCTTTTTGCCACAATTGAACTCTTCCTTCTTCTCCTGTGGAGAGTGTCCCAGAAAAAAACTGCCTGGGTTGGACTGGGTTGATAGGTGGTCGGCTTCTGTGTAGAAGAGCTAAGTGGAACCAAGGGGCAGCATCCACAACCCTCTTAACTGTTTGTGGACGTGAAACAC